TGCAATTCAACTGATATTCCACTAACTTAAAGCCTCTACAATTACACAAAACAGTAAAGTGAAATCATCGTTGCAATTCAACTGATATTCCACTAACTTAAAGCCTCTACAATTACACAAAACAGTAAAGTGAAATCATCGTTGCACTTCAACTGATATTCCACTAACTTAAAGCCTCTACAATTACACAAAACAGTAAAGTGAAATCATCGTTGCACTTCAACTGATATTCCACTAACTTAAAGCCTCTACAATTACACAAAACAGTAAAGCGAAATCATCGTTGCACTTCAACAGATATTCCACTGGCATACACCCTCTTGCGCAAGCTACAACTTCAGTGAGCATTTAAGTAAAATTGCTGCTATATAAAATGATATTGTTTCCTGATCCATTCTGAAATTACACTGGACAACTGAAATAATATACTTACAGTTCATCAGGTACTATTCTAAATTAAACTCATTAAAGATACAATGAACAGTTAAGATAAATATTTTCAGTTCAAAAGACATACAGCAGAGTTACACCTGCTACTGTAAACAGTTAGGATGTATTTATATAGTTTACGAAATATCCACTGACTTATAGACGCTACATTTTTAATGATCAGTTGAGGCAGATCTTTACAGTTCTTAATAAACTTGCTTATACGTATTACAGACAAAATGAACAAATAAGATAAATGCTTACAGTTTATATAACATTCTATTGGCTTGTAATCTGCTACAATTACATTGAACAATTAAAGAAATATTTACAGTTCAACAAATATTCCACTTATCTATGCTTGCTACAGTATCAGCTAAGTAAGGAGAAATTAGTGTGAAAAATACACATGTAATAAAACAATGCTGTGTTTATTTGTTGCTAAGCGCAAAGAGCTACACAATGGACTATTTGTGCTGTGCCCACCAATGATATCGAAACCCTGTTTTTAGCGTTACCATTGAGTCACTGGGGGTGGGATGGGGGGCCTAATGTTGGGTTATTAATTCTTACCTAAAAATCTGATTTGTAAATGACTTAAATAAAGATTGATAATAATTACAATTCACTTGCTTAGTCTGATTAACACCATAACAGTTGTTGTTCATGTAAAGTGATGATACGTACAGCGTCTGTACCACTACTACGTCTATCATATCCCAGCCGGCTTGATGAACTGTGGTATTAGTCGCTACTGGATATAGCAGACGTAAGTATGGTTAACATATTATAATGTATTTTATTTTACTTTCATTCATGGGCCCTTAGAATTATTCTACAGTTATTACAATTAATAATTGATTACAGTTCACAAAGTATTCCGCTACAATTACGGGGAATAATTAGATAAATTTTCCTACTTCATAAGGTAAGTAATTATAATGCCTCGTGAATAAAGAGGTATGTTGACTGTTCACTTTAACCATATCAGGGGTAAGTCGTGGAATATATGAAATGATAAAATGTGAAATAAAATAAACGGCAAGTAAACAAGAGAACACTGACCTGTTTACAAACACTGATCGATTTATGTGAATTGATAGCTTAAGGGTTAACAATAACCAAATTAAACAGAGGAACTTAAACTTGTTTATTAACACTCACTAGTGAATGGAATAATAGCCCAAATTAACAATGACTATAATAATAAGTTTGTTTTAACACGGAGTGTGCGAAATGGTAGCTAAAATTAAGACTGCCCAATTTACGTGAATGTGGTTAACACTGACTAGAGAATAACAAGCGAAAAGTGAAAAAGGACGAAATTAGCTTGTTTGTTTTTGGTATCACGAAAACACATCCAGGCATAATAATGGTTGGAGACGGCTTGAATGGGTAATGAAGAAAAACTTTAATATAAGTTTAACATACCTGATGATGACAAAACCTTGTCGAAACGTTGTAAATTTGCTGTTACGTTAAACTTATATTAAAGTTTTCTTCATTACCCATTCAAGCCGTTTCCAAGCATTATTAGTCCCAGAAAGGGTTCCTCGTCATCGAACATCTAAGCATAATTAAACACATTTAGAACTATAAAGTGGTTTATATGCCAACACTGAACAGTTTTAAGTGAGTGTACGGTACATTAGATAAAACTACGTGCCCCAAAGTGAACAAAGTAATCATGGCATCTAGCATCAACTAACGATATAAATGTATAAGGTATGTTAGATAAAACAAGATATGCCACATTCTGTCCTTAATAACGAATGAAGTGAAAACTGACAAATATACAAATATAGTATTTGAAATGTGATGGGTCATTTGGTTAGAACATTGCGCTCAGTTGTCACTCCTGAAAATATCTAATTTCGCGAGACGGCGTGCCACCCTGATATACACACACATACACTACTACTATTATAATCGAAGCTGGAATGCCAACGTCAGGAGGTAAGGTTTACTTACTTCCCTCAATGGTAGGACCTTATTTTCGTTGGAATGCCAACGTCAGGAGGTAAGGTTTACGTACTTACCCTCAATGGTAGGACCTTATTTTCATTTTACATTTCTTTAAACAACAATCGCCTTCCCACAACTGACTGCAGATTGTAAAGAGTAAGAAATATGGGACGTTGTGGGCTTGAGCACCCACATTTTGCTCTCCTAACTTATTCTTACTTATTTTATGTTTATTTTTCTTTCTTTAACATGTGAGACTAGCGAACGGAGGTTGAGACTGGTAGACGATTTGTTTGTTTGAAGTTAAGCACAAAGCTACACAATGGGCTATCTGTGCTCCGCCCACCACGGGTATAGAAACCCGATTTCTAGCGTTGTAAGTCCGCAGACATGCCGCTGTGCCACTGGGGAGCACTGGTAGACGATGTATCTACACCGCAATGTGGGTTTTGCTTCCGTAGTCACCTCGAAAACCCAGGGTACATTTTATATCCCACATTATAGACTGTGTCCTGATGATCTTTTTAACATACGAAGCGTTTTTGTTGTAGTTGTCAAGGCTTGTTTTGATAATTAAAATGTTTTTTTCGTCACAGATTTGATCTTGCTGTTTTTAACTCTGTCCTTCCTTTTGATGTTAACATTTACTTAACTCTTGAAATAATGTTTAAATATATATGTTTAAGTAAACAAATGAATATTTACGTGTTTACTAAAACCCGTCAGTATGTGCGATATACATTCCTATACTAATGGTGATCATTTTGTCCACGTGTACCGCACACTAGCTAAAACAAGTTATGTATATATAAGCAAACAGAGGTTGGTTGTTGGTTTGTTGAATTTCACGCAAAACCACTCGACACTATCTGCATTAATCGTTCCTAATTCTGGAGTCATAAGCTAGAGGGACGGCAACTAATAAACATCACCCACCGCCAACTCTTGAGCTACTCTTTACCAATAAATAGTGGGAGTGATGGTCACAATGTAATGCTTCACGGCTGAAAGGGCGAGATATTCGGTGACGGGTTTCGTTCTCGCAACCCGTAGATTGCGAGTTGAGTGCCATAACCACTAGGTTATGCAAGGTCAACAAAGGAACACTGGCTTATTTACCAAAAGTTATCAATTTATGTTAGTGTATGGATCATTACATAAAGCTAGCGAATTAAAACTAGGCGAAGAAATCCTAGGTTGTTTACTAACAGTGACTGATTTAGAAGTGTCCAGATTATTAGCAAAAGTAAGTGGTAAACAACACCAAGTTGAAGGTTTGCTTTCAAACGAGGGTCAGTTTAGGCTTAACGGACAGGTTGATCGGCCAAGTAATTGCGGTGACCAAAAAGTTATGAAATAGAAAAAAGAAATGCAGCGAAAAACAAAACTTGTTGTAATGTGTTAATATACGCATAGACATTGGAACCAGAATGTAGAGGGCACGTGTTCCAATAATTAAATTGGAGCCAAAATACCATTGCTCCCCCCACGCTCACACACAATATTTTACTAACAACAATTTTGTATTTAGTTTTTCTATGCCAGCCGAAATGAAAGGAGATTAGTTCTTTGATTAATTCTAAACAATACGCTGTTAGTAACTTATTATGCATCTTTATAACGCGTATACTTGTTATTATCTGAAACATTCTTATTAATTGTATTACTTTCGATTTTGTAATACAGAGCAAACAATTTAATTGATATTTTGTCTGTTTTTTGAAGGTACACTGTACACTATAGTACTTGATACTGTGTGAAATTGTTGAATAATATTTTAAAGCGTTTTATTGTTTGTCTGTTTGTTTTGAATTTCGCGCAAAGCTACACGAGGGCTATCTGCGCTAGCCGTCCCTAATTTAGCAGTGTAATAAGCAGGGAAGGCAGTCATCACCACCCACCGCCAACTCTTGGGCTACTCTTTTACCAACGAATAGTGGGATTGAGCGTCAAATTGTAACGCCCACACGGCTAAAAGGGCGAGCATGTTTGGTGGAACGGGGATTCGAACCCGCGACCCTCAGATTGCGAGTTGAGTGCCCTGACCACCTGGCCATGCCGGGCCTTTTTTATTGTTTGTCATACACTTTTTATTCATTTACGACTCCCCTCCCCTTAAAGTGTATGTTCCAACATGCCTAAATATACATAGCTAACATTCACGTTACAATCCTATGCCAATGTCTGAAGACCAGCTTGTTTGAAAACACTAGGAAGTTTAATTTCGCTTAAACAAGTTGAAAGTAACCAAAATAAATCAGATTTATTTAACACCTCTGATTATTTGGTGAAGGTGATTATTGGTTAAGAAAAGTTACGATAATATGTGAATGAGCTTAATAATAACCCGGTTAACTGTAAGTAAGCAAAATAAGTTTGTAAGTTTATAATTGCTTAGTTTATTAATATCTGGAATATTGGAGAAATATGTAATAAGTAAACAAAGAAAACTTGCTGGGTTACTACAAATAACAGATTAGTTTATATATGTGTACAGTATACTCACTAAAACAACTAATATGAATACGAATAAAAACTAGCCTCTTTATTAACATTGTTCGATTTACGCGATCAAACATAATTATATTGGGTAAAACATATATATATATATTTATATATAAAGAGAACAACTGGCTTATTTACTCTTAATTAGAAAAACGACAAAGAGGAAAACTGGCTTGTTTACGCTTAATGTAAAAAAAAAAAAGAGAGAGAAAATAAACTGGCATATTTACTCTCAATGTAAAAAAAAGAGAGGGAGAAACTGGGTTTTTCATGTCATTGTAAAAGAAAATGAGGAAAACTGACTTGCTTACTCTAAATGTAAGAAAATCTTACCAAAATATGCGAAACTTAAAAAGGTGAAAAGGAATTTGTTCACTACATCAGGGCACTATACATTAAATTAACTGAAAGCACCGGTTGTAAGATTGAAGAGGATGTGTGTACTGTACGTATGTGGAATCAACTTGGAGAACCACACACGTACCCAAGTGCATTGTGTTAACGTAATACATCGTGTTTTTTTTTATTTAAACGATAGGATAAATTGCTACTTGGCTGAAGATAAAAATTAGGTATTATTAAAGAAAGAATATAGTCTTTGGAACATTATTTTATTTAAATTTTTTAAATTCCGTAACTTTAAACACCATAAATTTAAAAAATTATAAATAAAATTGACTGCGTCTAGCAGGCGTGTGGAGTTTGTCCATTGCTGTCGACGTCTTTCTACACTGTACTTTAAAGGGGTCGTCTGTAATCCGTTATTCGGTTACTAGATACTGTTAAATTAAATTTCAATTTCATTATTCCTAGTTATCCTAACCATTTTGTGAACAGGAAATGTAATCAATATACTAGCTTTTTAATTACTATCGTAAAATGATATATTTTCTTTTAACATATCCGTTTATTGTATCTGTGTCTTAAGTTTTATTAAGAAAAAAATGTCTTCAATACTAGACATCCCACTGAGAACTTGAAAATCTTGTTAAAATGTCTTCTGAAAAGGTAAAAATAACTCACGAGGCAGATTTTTACGAAATGGCCATCACAAGCTCTGTAGTTAAGATGTGACACTTTGAAAAAATACGAAAGAAATAGCCCCCCCCCCAGTGGCCCAGCGGTATGTCTGTGGAGTTACAACGCTAGAATCCGGGTTTCGATACCCGTGGTGGGAAGAGCACAGATAGCCCTTTGTGTAGCTTTGTGCTTAACTACAAACAAACAAAAACACGAAAGAAATAATTTAGATAATTCTACATAATTTAGGAATATAAATATATATAATACACGCAGAACTATGTATATCTGTAATAGCTAGAACAAAATAATGTAAATAAGTGTCTATATTGAACTATCGATGTCATATTGACAAAGTCGTTGTTTTCTATTTTATTCATTGCTTGTAAAATAACCATTTTTATAATATAAATCTTAATTTATTTAACGAATTAAGACGTTGGAAATGATATATGCTTTTCAACTTACACAATACTGAACATGATATTGCTATTATTGCTACTAGTTGTTTATTTATTTGAAAATGTGTCTGTAAAAATCATTTGCCAGAATATTTTCTTAATCAGTTAATACTTGTTTACAAATTAATTTTGTATTGAAATAATGAAAAATTAGCTTGTAATACATTAATCCTATATATTTTGAGTTTTAAGCATATAATTAAAAAATAACATTCAATAATTTTAAATGTTGACCTTAATACACAAACGTCTATTAAATGTAACTAAGTTTAGTATGAGTAGGATAAGAGGTAAAAATATAAGTTGTTTGTTTTAGAACAAGGCTACTTCATGGACTATATGCACTGTTTCAACCATGGGGATCGATTTCTGAATTTTAGCATTATAAGCCTTGAATATTACTACTGAACCACCATGAAGTAACAAAAAATCCACAAAAACGTAAATTATATATATTCCTGGATAATTTAATAACTGGTAAAAATAAGAAGTATGAATATTCAGATAAGAATCATACGACTGGTGAAGGGTATAATCTATAGGAAGAAAAAGGTGTTAGTGGGTGGTGAATTCATCAATAAGTAAAAGGAATAATGGGATAGGAGATAACCAAGTAATCTGATTGGTGTGTTAAAAATTTAATTCGCTATTGGATAAGGGAAGAACTATTAGAAACAAGCAATATTAAAGTCGGAAAAGAAGTACAAGATATATAATGCTTGGAGACGGCTTGAATGGGTAATGAAGAAAAACTTTAATATAAATTCGATGACGAGGAACCCACTTTGAGACTAATAATGGCTGGAGACGGCTTAAATGGGTAATGAAGAAAAACTTTAATATAAGTTTAACATGACAGCAAATGTACAACGTATCGACCTGGTGATGACAAAACCGTGTCGAAACGGGGAAGAGTTGAGGT